ATGTATACAAAGTAAGCACCCTGGCTTCCTGCTGAGTCACTTAGCCAAACCTCTAGACTCCCCAAGTTGACACAATGTATCAACCATAACAGTAGCCATTTCCTGGTGCTTATGAGCTTAGGGCAAAGTGGGCGCTCACATCAAGTCCTTTGTAGGTCCTTCGTAAGACCTGGTCTTCGAAGGTGCTGCTGCTCTTTCATGGGCTAGTTGGGAGAGATGCTGTGCTGTGCTGTCCTGTCCTCTTAATGAGAATTTTATTGTATCTTTTTAAAAACTCATTTTCTGTGATGTTTGCTGCCTCCATTTTTAACAAATTTTTGTCTGAATTCAGAATATTCATAAAATATTCTCATTAAAAAGAGATAGCATGTAACTTACTCTGTGGTCACTGGTTCAGTTTTATTTTTTGGTGCATATAACATTAAGACTTTTGTGTTTTCAGACCACATTTGAATTACTTCTTCACTGTTTTGCTTTCCCAAATTTCTCAAGTGTACATACACAGTTCTTAGAAGTAGTTTGTTATTACATCTCCGCATATTTCTTCCTTTATTTTGACAGTTCCCTCTTTTGAGCTGTATCCAGTCTCCTATATCCAGGAGCTGCTCAGCATCTTTCTTTTCCTAAGCAAAGCACTCAGTAGGTCATTTCTCATACAACTTTAATACCCAGTGATAGCTCTGGCTCCTGTTTATAAGAAAGAAGCCTGGATTAATTTCCTGTTGATGAAAAAACACAGCTAATGATCTGCTTGCTACAGATTAATTTCTTTAAATCACCTTCATTAAAAGAGTTATAATTGACATAAAACAAAACATACCGTTCTAACCATGCATTTAGTGATTTGGACAAATATGTATAATCTAATCACCAACATAATCAAATTACAGAACATCTCTACCTCCCACACCTTTTATTTCTCTTAATCATTGGACCACTCCCAACCCACCCAGGCAAACACAGATCTGTTTTTTGTTAACATATAGATTTGTATTTTTTGGAATTTCATAGAAGTGGAATCATACAGTATGCACTCTTGTGTCTGGTTTATTTTTCTCAGTATATTATTGAGATTCATTCATGTTGCTTTTATCAGTAATTGTTTCCATTATTTGTAAAGTAGTTTTCCCTTGCATGAATAGACTACAACTTGTTTCATCATTTACCTACTAAGGGATATCTGGGCCATTTCCAGTTTCTAAAGTAGTTTGTAAGCCCTAATTGTGTAATACATAGTATAACCATTCTTTATACTTTTCCAACTGCGAAGAGTTCTCTCTACATTTCTCTAATGTCTTAGGAAAAAATATATCTGTGAATCTTCAGTTATTCCTTTAATATTTTTATATGATTACTCAATATCTGAAGATATTTCTAATATTTGTGGCATTATGGTTTAGTGTATCATATGCTGTGTTTACCTTCTCTTTTTTTCCCCTCAGATATGCCATAAGAGAGAGCAACAGTGTTGTAAAGATATTTAAGAACTTTAAGGAAAAAAAGTCATTTAAACCAGACTTTGGAGCAGAAAGTGAGTGCTGTTTACTTACATTGATAGAACCTTTGTAATGGCTCAAAAATATCTAAACAGAATCTTCTTACATTCTTTTAAGGTATCTATGGAGGCTTCCTGTTGGGTGTCAGATCTGTGAATGGCTTAGCCTTCTATGACTGGGACAACACAGAACTCATTCGCAGAATTGAAATTCAGCCCAAACATGTGAGTTTGCTCTCCACTGTTTTTGAAATGAATGACGAGTTCTGGGCCCCTGAAGCCAAGTTGTATCCTCAGACCCTGTGGTCCATTTCAGTGTGTTGGACAGAGTGCCGTTTACCATAACATTGCTCAGTAAATCAGGATTGTGGTAGTTGAACGAAGCAGTAAACATCAGATATTTTGAAAAGTATAAAAATTTATACAAATTTCAAGTGTCATTCATATTCTACGTGGCTTCTGACAGAATAAGAAAGCATGTTTAAAGATAAGAAGTCAGAGGATTCTTGATTTAGAAAGGCCTGAAAAACTTGCCCCTCATTCTGGAAACCTTTCCACACTTACCTGGTGAAGGCTGCTCAGAGTTTAGGGGACCATCGCTGGTGACAAACCTACCTTTGAAGCGCCTGCTGCTTTGACAGCTTTCACTGTTAGGAAACTTACCTTTCAGAGGCACAGTAGCCTCTTTGTGGTACTGGTTCTGTTTTCTAGAGTATGGTGCTAGTGCCTCCACAAAGGAAAAAAAATGGTTTGGGGGACTTTATAAAGTACAGATATACTTATGTGTGTGTATGTACCGTATATATTTGCATTATATATGTATGTATGTCTTAACAGATCTACACTATATATGTAATGTTAAAATTTCTTTAGGGGAAGTGGTTAGGGAAAAAAAAGTAAAAAAGGTTCCAAATAGGCTATTGCTGCTCCTCTAATACACAAATCCAGGGGTTCTGACAATTCTCCTGGTTTCCCATTGCTCTTTGCATTGTTAGGCCAGATAGAACATCCCTGCCTTGTCTGCTGTCCGGAATACATGTAGAAATATGCTACATAAAATCATTAAGTACAGAGTTGTTATCTTACTGTAAGATTATTTTTTTTTTTAATTTTTTTTTTTTTTTGGTACTGGGAATCTAACTCGGGACCTTGCGCTTGCTAAGCAGGTGCTGTGCCGCTGAGCTATATCCCCAGTCCTGTAAGATTATTCTTGTAAGAAACAAAATATCTCCAGTTTGTCGTGTGGTTCAGAAATTCAAATTGGCCAACTATGCATTTGTTGTGTTACAGATTTTCTGGTCCGATTCCGGAGAACTAGTCTGTATTGCCACTGAGGAATCATTTTTTATCCTTAAGTATCTGTCAGAAAAAGTCCTGGCTGCACAGGAAACACATGAAGGAGTTACTGAAGATGGCATCGAAGACGCCTTTGAGGTGATTGCATCAGCACAACTTTAGCTTTGTTTTTTAGTAATCTACATTCCTACACTGGACCGCAGGTTTTAGTATTTTGTCATAAATTAGATTTGGGGAACAAGTATTTAAGGGATTCTGATGAAATGCAAAATTAAAACTTGGTTCAAAAGAATCTGAAAGTAAGTATGTTTAAAAAAATGTTTTGGTTCTAAGACTAGTCAGAATTTTAAATTGGCTCCAAAATGGTAAAAGTAACTCACCCACTGTGGGGATGTCCTACTTACTAGTCTAGTTTTATATGTATTATGGGATTTAAATTAATATTGTTGTAACTCATCGTTTTGAACCACATGATATTCATCTAAGAATCTGTCCTTAAAGAAGATACAAATTCTAAAGAAATATTTTCTTTCTTGAAATAGAATTTTACTTTGCATCCATTATTGCTACCTTATCACCCTCAAATATATTCAGCTTTTTGTTATTGTCAGGTTTCTAATATTGGATAAGGTAATAATAGTCTTATTTTCTTTCTACAGGTTCTTGGCGAAATTCAAGAAATTGTAAAAACAGGGCTGTGGGTGGGCGACTGTTTCATTTACACAAGTTCTGTGAACAGATTAAATTATTATGTCGGAGGAGAAATAGTCACCATTGCCCACTTGGACAGGTAGCTGAGTGTTCTTCTGCTTCTGTCATAAGCATCCTAATTTTAAAATGCGCTTTTAAAGCAAAATAGCGTGTAGGTATAATAGAGTGGTTTTTCAAAGTTCTGGGTTTAGTAGGTGGCCTGTTGGTTAACTAAAACTACATTAATCAAATGGGAAGATTCTGAGTTAGAAGCAAGGGTTATGTGTGTATGTGTGTATGCCCATGTGCTTGTGCATGCTTATGTGTGAGCTTACACACAGATTTGGGCTTATGATTATTTATTTCTCTTGTAGGACAATGTATCTCCTGGGCTATATTCCTAAAGATAATAGGCTTTATCTGGGGGATAAAGAATTAAACATCGTAAGTTACTCCCTGCTGGTTTCAGTTCTGGAATACCAAACAGCTGTCATGCGGAGGGATTTTAGCATGGCTGATAAGGTCCTTCCTACCATTCCAAAGGAACAAAGGACCAGAGTTGCACACTTCTTGGAAAAGCAGGTAAGAGGCTTTTTTCTTCTTGTTTTTTAAAACTATCGAAAAAGAGTATTAGTATGGATTTGAAAATTTTATAATCACCACTAAATTGTTTATTTTTAGGATAATGGAATTTCTCTTGTCATTTTAAGGCACTTGTTACAGGATATGGTACATACAATCTCCTTATCGTCTTCCTGCTCCTTTCTCAGCATCCTTAGTGTCCCGTAAATGTTGGTGGTGACTTAGCAGTCTTCTGTACATCTCTTTTCCTATCTCTTAATATTTTTTGTTTCTACATGTCATTCTTGACTCATCTGCCGTTTTTAAAAATTGTGGCAAATAATGCATATAACCTGAAATTTACCATGATCAACATGCCTTTTTTTAATGTAAAAATTTTTAAGTCAAAGCACACTTCTTAAGCTTCACAGCTTAAGAAGCAGACTTCCCTGCTTTTCTTTGTCCCCTTCCCATTCCCGAAAGTAATTGCTTTTCTTTAACCTAATTCCTTTACTATAATATATATTTCCATGTCTCTAAGTAACATGCAGTAGCAATAAGTGATTTCTTCATTTTTCAGCTTTACACATTTCCTATGACTTTTTAGTCAGTAAGAGATGAGTGTTTAGCTATCTTCCTCCTCCTTCAATTCCTACTTCTTATCCTCCCAGAATAGTTCTGTCATAATTTCCATTAGGGTGGCATTTGATGTTTGCATCATGGCTATATATACCCTGTTCACAGCTGAGCCATGTAGTATACTATGACTTCCTTTCCTATAATCACTTGTTTTCACTGGAGTTCATGATTACTGGCTGTTTGCTTAATTTTCTATATACTTATATTAAATTCTCGCTAGACTTTGCTTAATTTTCTATATACTTATATTAAATTCTCGCTAGACTTTGCTTAATTTTCTATATACTTATATTAAATTCTAGCTAGACTTTGCTGGCTGTCCAGATTTCCTTTCATTTCAGTCTGCCTCAGACTGAACTGGTGTTTCTGCTCATCCTGGGTATCTCATCATCACGTCGAGGCTTCCTTTTGTCTCTTGCTTGAGTTGAATCTGTTATTGTCCCTATCTTGTCATCGTTCCGGGTTTGTCCCTACATTTTGGTGGAGTATGTTCTTCAGCAGTTTGCTCAGAAAATGTTTATTTACAGAGATGCTTTTTGTAACACTCAGTACCTGAAAATGCCATTGTAAACGTGTTGACCATTCAACCAGGTGTAGCATTCTGTGCTGGAGGTAATTTTCTCTTAGAATTTTGAAGGCCTTCTAGCTTCTAGTTATCAGTGAAGTGTAAAGACATTTTCCTGATTGTTGTTACATGACCTGTTGTTTTCCTCTGGAAGCTTTTTGGATTTTGTCTCTACTGTTCTGAAAGTTTTTCTTTCATTCAGCTGGGTGTTAGGTGAGCTCCTTCAGTAGGAAATGTGTTCCTCATTTCTGAAGAGATTTTTATGAATCATTCTGTACTGATTTCTTTCCTGTGTTTTGTTTTGTGTATTCTGTGTTATTCAAATGTTGGGCCTACCACACTGACGTTTTCTGTTACTGACAGTCTGAATTTTTTTTTTTAAACTGGAGATTGAACCTCGGGCGTTTGTGCTGAGCTATGTCCTGAGCCCTTTTTATCTGTTTAATTTTTGGGACATATTTCTCTTAAGTTGTGTAGGCTGTTTGACTCTACCTCCGCCTTGAAGTGGGTTAGGATTACAGACTTGCTACCATGCCAGCTGAATATTTTTGTTTGTAGTTTAGAAGTTACCTTTTCCTCCTACATGGTATGCTACCTTCAACTTGTTTTTATTGATTTGAGTTCGTCTGTCTTTCCTGTTAAGAGCTTTTCCTCATGTGTCTGATGACCCTTGAACCCTCATTTAAGACAGAAAGTATAAGCAGTAGATCTGGAAGTCTGAGTTTGTGGTAGGACCTGTTGGATGTGGACTTTACAGTGAGTGAAGCAGTTGCCCTTTGACTAGAACTCCATCTCAGTATCTTCATCTAATCACTGTTCATTTATTCATTTAATGAAGTTGACAAGTACTTACAAGCACACGAGGCATTGTTCTAGGTAACATATAACCTTCACGGGCTTGACATTTTAGTACTTTTTAGATTTTTCCCCTTGGGCTGATTACATTTTAAAGAGAAGCTCCCCATCTCCATCACTCTAGGGGGTAAGCAGAACACAGCTGGGAGTCTCAGTACTCAGGATTTCACTTAGTTTGCATATCCATTCTCATTATCTCCTTTGATACTCAGTACTTCTGCCTCCTGGCTTGTGCTGGGTGTGACCCAAGCCCCTCTAGTTGAGTAAGGCTAAAGAATAGGCCTGACTTCCTGTGTGCTGGGCTAGGAGGGACCCTGAAATACCAAACAATTATAGGTTTTTGTTTTTTATCACTATCCTTCTTCATATACCCCTGGCAGTTCTGAGGGGTGAATCAGGTTATTTCTATTCTGTCTTCACTCCTGATTTATGATTTTAGGATTTTCTCTACTATTTTTACTCCTTAACTAGCTTTCCATCTTCCAAAATTTGGTTACTCATGTTTTTCCTCCTTTTCCAGTATGTCCCTGGGAATTTAAAAATATTTTTTAAAGTATCTTAATGTCATTTTAGTAGCAACACTCCCCTACTGTTAAGATAATGGGAGCTGCGAGGGGAAATGAAAATGTGTGTGTTTAGTCCGTCACATTTAATCTGATTGCCCTTGCCCACATATTTGCCTAGTTTCAGAGATCATCTGTCTTTCACTGTTAGGCTTTATGTGGTCCACATCAGTTAGTGAAGGAAAGGCGTGAGTCATTCTATTTAGAGTGTCTGACCACACTGTACTCACGGATGGGTGGGAGTGAGTGGTGGCTGGATCATCTGAAGTTAAAGCATTCCCAACAGAACAGAACCTCCTGAAGACCTAGCTGAACAGAAGTGACCTGTGAAAGCTGCCTGGGTTCTCCATCCTGACCATCCCGTACTGAGCGTTCTCCTTCCATTTGAGGAAGAGGATAACTAGCCCTGAGCTTTTCCTCTTAACACACCACATCCCTAGATCCAAACTTGACCTTAGCTTCCCTCCCCCGCCACTGTTTGTCCACACAAGCTAATTTAATTGTACCTGATTTAAAAGCCTGTTCCTAGTGGCTTCATAGGGCATGCAAGGAAAATCTTAGGCTTTCTGTCCTTTAAGATACGACCTGGACATGAGACCAACACTAAAGATACAGGAAAATGACACTTGATCAGTGTCTGGACTTGAACACAAAATGTTGGCTAAATGGCCTACAGATGACAGGCAGAGGTATTATAGTTGCCTCCCTTTTCTTTGCTTGTTACAAATAATCTCACCTGTAAAATGAGGCCTAGACTAGAGGTCCAGCTTTGTTGAGAACATGAGAAACTGAATTACACCTTTGCTTCGCTTCTTATGCAGTGACTTCTCTTTATCTTCTCAAAAGCCCTCTTTTTGACATTTCTGTTTTTAATTTTACTAGTAGTTTTACGTGAGTTTGTCTAGAATTAAGGCAGCTCCCATTATCTTAACAGTAGGCACTATGTGATCAGTATTTTAGCTGCAAGTTTTGTCCTGTCCAATTAATTTAATGACTTCTAAATTTATATCTTCTTACAAGACTCACCTGTTATTTTTAAGTTAATTTCTTTATCAGCAAGGTTGTTTTTCTCTGAAAGGGAAATGGATGATTGGCTTTCAGGTATTTGCCCTGTTTTGTAGACACATTTTTGCTTCCACAGGCCACACATACATATATCCTTTTTCTTTTTCTAAATCTGGTTAGGGCTTCAAGCAGCAGGCTCTTACGGTATCCACAGACCCTGAGCATCGTTTTGAACTGGCTCTTCAGCTTGGAGAGTTAAAAATCGCATACCAGTTAGCAGTGGAAGCAGAGGTAAGTACTAATTCATGATTCACGACTTCTCATAATCGATGGGAAAGTCAGTAGTACTTCTGTCTTTGTTGGAATGTTTTGTTAATTATGTTTTTCACCTGGAAATTAGTGACTCATTTTGTGATACTGTTTTTTTGTGCCTTTTTCAAAGATGCCTTATTAACATTTGCATAAATTAAGCAGATTATACTGAAAACAGTCTTAGCACTGTGTTTTGTAAGAAGTGTTTTTCCCATCTTAGGTGAGTTTTAGTTTGCAAGAGTGATTTAGGTAGCAAGTAAAGTTACCTGGAAAGTCTGAGTATAGACAAAACAATAATTTGCAAAAAACCCAAATAGCAAGAAAGACACTGGTTTAAAGAGTTCTGATATTTTGAGACAGCTTCATGATAATTTTATACTCTTTGTGTACTGTGTGCTCCCAATTGTGTAAGTCCTACATTTACTGGTAAATTAATTTCAGACAGGTGAAATAAATTTTAGCTATGTTAAGATCTTCCAAATGAATAGCATTTTATTTGATTTCTGAGAAATTACAAATGACAAATATTTATTAAAGATGTGATTTTCTACTCTTTCAGAAAAGTAGTATTAAACTCATACATTAAAATGATTGCAATTTAATTATCTTGAAAGTCCAGTTAGATGGGTTACTTCCTGTGTAATTAAAAAATAAAAATATAGTTTTTTCATGAACCATTAAAATTGAATTAATTTTGTATACATGAATAATTTTCACCTCCTCAATCTACACTTTATTCAGCTGATAGAGCCAACTTAACAAGCACAACTGAGTATCTGTCTTCCATTTTGGAATAGTAATATTCACAGTAACAGAATAATGTTGATTTTGGAAATGTGAATGTTTATTTCCAAAGACCTTAACTTGGAAACTCTCTTACAGTCAGAACAGAAGTGGAAGCAACTTGCTGAGCTTGCCATCAGTAAATGTCAGTTTGGCCTAGCCCAAGAATGCCTGCACCATGCCCAGGATTATGGCGGTCTGCTGCTTTTGGCCACTGCCTCTGGAAATGCTACCATGGTGAACAAGCTAGCAGAGGGGGCAGAGAAAGATGGCAAAAATAATGTGGCCTTCATGAGCTACTTTTTACAGGGCAAGTAAGTATTTCTCCAAAGCCTACAAGACCTTAGTGAGCATGTTAATTAAAAGCAGTATTTGTAGTGGGAGTGGTGGCACACACTGGTAATCCCAACTCTCAGGAGGCTGAAGCAAGTGAGTTACCGTGAGTGCAAGGCCAGCCTGAGCTACACAGCAAAACTGTCTCCAAAAACAAAAAAAGTATTTGTACATTGACTTTTGGAGAAATGTGAAAAATGAATTCTGGAGAGCTGATATGTGGCCAACAGGTGTGACACGGGTAGAAGACACTGCTACTTGGTTGGCCTTTAGCACAAGGATGCTATAGGACATTTGGTCCAAAGGTGTTCGAGGTGGGAGAAACACTGAACTCCGTTCTCAGCAGCCAGCAGATGATGGCCAAGGCATTTTATTATCTGGCAGAAGGCAGCCATTGAACTGTTCTAGTTGGTATCTGAATGCCAGCTAAATATCCTGGTCTTTGAAATTTGCTAATCCTGCCTAAACTCCTTCAAATCCCATTTAGGTTCTTTTTAAACTGAAGAGTTGTTCAAAGTAAGTTAAGTAGGTTGAAAGTGGTTACAGAGCTATCTTATCCCACATACTCCTGAGGTCCACTGATTTTTGTACAACACTATGTAAGACAAGTAAATGGCTCAGTAAAGATGAGGCAAATGTGTGAGGGCAGTTGGGGAAGGTTTGACTTTGCAGCACGATATTCATGTATCTTCCAGTTGATAGCCTTTATTTTTGTAACAGCACCTCTCCTTTTCATGTTTAGGCTTGATGCTTGCTTGGAGCTCTTGATTAGAACAGGACGACTGCCAGAAGCTGCCTTCCTAGCCCGAACTTACTTACCCAGTCATGTTTCAAGGTATACCTTTAACTGTAGGATGAAGTGTTTCAAATGAAAACAGAGCGCACTTACTTACTCTGCGTTTGGTTCCATGGTTATAACAGGGTAGTCAAACTGTGGAGAGAGAATCTCTCAAAAGTCAATCAGAAAGCAGCAGAATCCCTTGCTGACCCTACAGAGTATGAAAACCTTTTCCCTGGGTTAAAAGAAGCCTTTGTTGTTGAAGAATGGGTGAAGGAAACACATGCCGATCTGTGGCCAGCCAAGCAGTACCCACTTGTCACGGTACGTAGCCAGGTGCCCGGCTGCACTCAGTGTGACGACAGGGTGGAACTGTACTTATGACTTCAGGTTATGAACTGTGCTAAGTTACACTGTTGTTGGGTTGTGCTAACACCTGGGATTTAGGCCAACGTATGGGTCGGTTATGATTTCTGAATATTTTATTTGATCATTTTCTATTCTTTGGTAGCCAAATGAAGAGAGAAACGTTATGGAGGAGGCAAAAGGCTTTCGGCCCTCAAAACCTGCATCTCAACAGGTCAGTAGGTTGTCACAGGGTGATAATTAGATTGTTGATTTTAAGTACTGCCTCCCACTTCCTAATCTTGATCTTCCTTGCTTTGGAGAAAAATGTAGATTTCTAGACAAATCCTTTCGTCTTCATATGTACCTGTACTTGTGCTTCCAGGAACCTGATGGAAAACCTGCTTCCCCTACGCCAGTTATTGTGGCTTCTCAAACAGCCAACAAAGAAGAAAAGGTAGGTCAGGCATCATTCAACAACCCCTCCCCACATGAGCACACGTAGGCCTTGCTGGCCTCTGCTTTAAGTGATGTAATCCATGGGAGAGTTTCATAGTAGGGGTTCTGAAATGAGAAGATGCTCTTTTAGACCATTATGCAAATTTTAGCTCTCATTTTGGATGATGACTCAGGTAAATCCTCTGACACAGTTTTATGTAACTTCACCACCCTCTTCCTTTTGTTTTCAGAGCTTACTGGAGCTAGAAGTAGATTTGGATAATTTGGAACTAGAAGATATTGACACAACAGATATCAATCTGGATGAAGATATGCTGGATGACTGAACGCAGTTTTCCATTTATTGACTAAACAGATCATTTTATATATATAGATAATTGATCACTACCCTGTCCACCATGCTTGGAACCAAGAGAAACTCCTTAAATTTTTATAAGGAAATGCTGTGCACCAGTGGGCGCAGAATGACCTCCTTACCTTAAGAGGAATTTATGTGTGCATTTAAGTTACTGTTCTTGTCACTAACTAAATTAGACATGGGCTTCGATTTGTTTTTCATGCTGATATTACAATGTATCATAAAATCTTCTGAGTCAGTGATACTTCAGTTGCGAGTAATAAAAACAGGCTTTTTGATACTTCAGTTGCGAGTAATAAAAACAGGCTTTTTGATACTTCAGTTGCGAGTAATAAAAACAGGCTTTTTGATACTTCAGTTGCGAGTAATAAAAACAGGCTTTTTGATACTTCAGTTGCGAGTAATAAAAACAGACTTAGTTTTAGAAGGCTGGGCAAAAACTACCTTACATAAGAATCAGCCCCACATTCTTTTCTTTGCATAACTAAATCTGCATTTGAGAAGTAGCTGTCCATGCTGTAATAACTTAAACCTTTCTCAATCTCATACCATTATCCTTAGTCTGTGTAACTTGACTGGGCTTATCCAGATTTTGTGTAGTAGTTAGCCATTTCTTTTTGGGGGTGGAGGCCTGAGGTAGGCTTACTAGTAGTACATGCTAGCCTGGAACTCACAGCAACCCTCCTACCTCAGCGTCCTGAGTGCTGGGATTCTATACCACGCCTGGCAGGTAGAATTTTTTTTTTTTTTAATTACCCATTTCTAAACTCAAGAGCTAAAACCTATCCTTCAGACCTCAGAAAGCCAGGCTGCATCTACATCACTAATAAGTGATACTCATTTGATATCACAGAATAGTACTTCTTTTTCTCTTTGTGTAATATCAGAGAAATGCATAGTCAGGCAAATATATTCAGTTATCCTCTTGCAGCCTAGAAAAGTGAGTGAGGTAACAAGTTTTTCTTTGTATTTTTGTCAGAGGCACTATCTAAAATTTTAAAAGCAAAGAGTTTTTATAGAAAACTACAAATCAGTACCTTTTAATTGTCATTTTTTAACATTCACCTTGATATTAACGGGAGACAAGTAGGTTGTTTTCATAAAATATAACTTAAAAATATCTTCAGGAAGCTGCAGAATGGCTAATGAATGCTTCTTGGTAAGTCTGAAGTGTTAATTCTATATATGCACCCCTCTGTGCTTCTGTTTTTGCAAAGACCTGTTTAAAAGAAAAAAACTTTAAAGCAATAGGACACACTATTTATAAAGTTCCTTAGTTTTAAGACATTAACATTTCTATAATAGGAAACAGTCCCAATTAAGGTCTTCCTTCATAACATTTCCCCCAGTTATAAAGCAGTAAATACACAGACAGAAAAACATCCCACAGTTCAAGCAATATTAATTCTAAACACCAAATTAGCTGTTGGCTCTTTTAGCTTGTTTTCAGAAAAATGTAAGATGCCGACACCGTACTTCCTGCTAGACCAAAGTGAAAAAGCATTAGGTTCAAGAGAACTCTAGAGGAGGACAGAAAATTCATTTTTCATTTCAAAGAATGTCTAAAAGCATTTTGCTTTATCTGGCATATCCAAGAAAATCAGGATTAGTACTATGGTTTCTCTACTTAGGGTGGTCACTGGTCATTTTTATCAAGCTTTGTGACATGCAAAAAAGTATTACTGCAGTATAAGCCAGGTGAAAACTGTCTATTCTGAGCATTAGAGATTAAATTACACAAGGACCTCCCTTTCCTATCCTAAAAATACTAACTCAGCATTTACAGAAAATCCATGTAAGCCCAAGGTTTGGAGCAGCGAATAGTTCCTAAATAACAGAAGGCTTGGGAGTATCTGAACACCACCACCCTCTCCTGCTCCTGACATCTACCTCCCACTCCCATGTTCTGTGACCACACTGTAGGGCAGGAAACTGCTCTTGGGGACATGTTCAAGTACTCTAAAGAACAAGGGGCCTGCTAACCCGTACTGTCTGAACCCCTGTAAACTCCAGCAGCCATCACACTCACCGCCCTTCATACTCCCTACCCTACCCATTGTCCAGGGTGAAGAAATAACGGGGACTGTGATCATACTGCTGTTTTCAAGACCACAAATATTCCAAATTCACACGTCTGTTTAGTTACCGTTATATCTTTTAAACTTAATTTTTTAAATTCAATTACCACCACAGCCAGTGTGAAAAAAAGACTGTTTACCTTAATTAAATGTATTCCCTCAGCAGCCTGCTCTCTGGCCTCTTGAGCGGATGGGCCATCTGGATGGAGCATGTGATACAGCTGGACCAAACCGGTAGCATCATCCGTCCTGTAAATGAAAGGGCTTACTGTTAGAGAGGGGCTTTCCTTCCTGGCTTCACAGTCCTATGAAAGTGCCAACTTCAAGATAAATTACATTCCAGACTTTCTTCAGGCCAAGAGCATGTGGAAAGGGTGGGGGTGCCACCTCTAGTTCCAAAAGAATTTCAGAAAAACTGACATCAAGTCTGTAAGGCAGGACGGCAGGAGACAATATAGGGAGTACCTAATTTGTGAAAATGAATGTACTCCAAATATGGCTGTATTTTAGGAAACCATCACTTCTCACACAAACAACCTTCCTAGTAGCAGCTCGTTTTCAGGCCAGCCCATTTTACCTGCATGAAATAAAGTGATCCAGCAGAGAGGGCAGAACTACAGCTTCATCCCACAGAAGCAGGCTAGTGGTTATCAGGTTCTCAAAGTCACTTGCCTTTGGTAGTATCTGCTAACCGATTTTCACTGACCCTGGATTAACAGATAAATGCCTCTGGAAGAGGATCCTCACAATTCCAAGAAAAGACTCACAGCACTTGCACAATCACAGGGACCGAGTTAAACAGCATCCTGGTAATGCAAATCTGAATTAGGCATATCAAGTTAAAGGCAAACCAAATTCTGCATCAGCAGTCTAACTTTAGCATCAAACCTAGCCATGGTGAAGCCACAGTGCAAGTTCAGTTCTGGTTTGTACTTCTTTTTAGAAACGCGTAATTCTAACAACAAAACTTTCCATCCCCCAAACTAATCACTGTCTGCTCACGCTGTCATCACTTTCCAAACATCTGCCAGCTGGAGGAGGACAATGTGTCAAAACAACCAAAAGGTTCTGAGACTGTGCTGTGCTATTTTAGTAAGCTGCTGGCCTCTAGCTGGGAAAGAAGGGATGAGGATGCCCTAATTCAATGGGTGACAGAGTTTCTCAAGTCACGATGACCTCAGGGAAATACTCTGGGCTTATCCCAGTTCCCATCTACGTTAAAGGGCATCATCTGAGAAAACTGAAAATCCAGAGATGCTTATATAGTGACACTTTTTAGAGCCAAGAAAACAAAAAAAATGATCATTACACACCTACTGTATATGTTATAATTTAACAAAGTCCAATAGATGTGGTAGTAAGATACATACCCAAATAAAATAAAATAAAAAAATAACTCCTGTTACAGCTAAGGCATGTGGCCCTATGAAAAACCAACAGTGGGACTTGAGTCTGAAAGAAGTGCACACTCTGAATTCTGGCCTGGTGGCTATTCAGAAAGGATGGGCGCCCTCTACTGTTCACATGGAGATCTGCAGCCAGCTCACCGTCCCCTTGAGAAGTACTGCAGGAGGGGTTAGTACACAAATTGCTTCACATGCCCAAAGAGTAATACAACAATATCACATATTATTGTGCCTCAATAAAGAACTTAATTTTCAAACTTCAACATTTCTATGTTGCTCTTAATTTTTTACAAAAATAGTGTTTTAGAAAGTTCACAATGGGGGCCAGGGATTTAGCTCAGCGGCACAGCGCCTGCCTGGCAAGCGCCAAGGTCGTGAGTTCGATTCCTAGTACCGGAAAAACAACAACAACAACAACAAAAAAACCAAGAAAGTTCACAATGAATGCAAATGAAAAACTTTAAAAGCAGAAAATTCATTTATGGGGATGTCACTTTCTGCACGTAAAGGCACATAACTTTTTAGAATCATCACCACTACATACAAGGGGTGGAGGTGTATTTCTGCCTTCTGAATTGAGTTACACAGTGCATGCTGAAATGAGCTGGCCTGGAAGTCACTGTCAGGAATGCTGTTTCTAGTACTGATGCTATTTCCAAATGTAGGCTTAGAGAAACTGGAACCTTCCAATACCACATGCCTTATCTTAATGTCTTTATCAAAAATGTTATTGCTAAAAATGCTAACAATCTTCCCAGATAAAGAAGTACAACTGGCAAATAAATATATGAAAAAATATTCAAAATCACTGGTCATTCAAGAGATGCAAATTAAAACACTGCGATTCCACCTCACCCCAGAAAGAATGGCTATCATCAAGAAATTAACCAATAACAAATGCTGGCGGGATTGTGGGGAAAAAGGAACACTTCTTCACTGTTAGTGTAGACTAGCACAACCACTGTGGAAAGCAGTATGGACAGTCCTCAGAAAACTAGGATTAGAGGTCCCATTTAACTCAGCTATTCCTTCCAGAAGAAGGAATTATACCATAGTGATATATGTGCTCACATGTTTATAGCAGAGCAATTTGTCATAGCTAAATCTTGAAACAACCCAAGTGACCATCAAATGATGAATGGATAAAAAAGATGTGGTATTTTTATACAAGGGAGTATTACTCAGTTATAAACTTTGAGGCTTTTATAGGTAAATGGATGCAACTAGACACCATACTCACAAGTGACATAAATCAGACTCATGTGTAAATAACGTATTGTCTTCCTAGTATAAGACACTGAAAGAGTAAATAAAATCCAAAGGGTACAATAGATATTGTGAAAGGGAAAGAAACTGCTCAAAAGGAAAGAACTGGGATAGGGGAAAGGAGAGGAGAAAGAAGGGAAAAAATATATATAAGCTAAGATAATTGTACTACTAATTTCTATTGGTTTACTGAAAGGAACAGTTAATGCTTAATTGATCAATTTTGCATGCCTATATCTGGTAATCTGAACAACTTCTACTTTGAAGATAACTATGCAATATAACAACCATTGTTAATTTCCTATCATCTTGTTTTGAAATTGTGTATCATTTTTTTTCCTTTTTTAAAAAAATAAAAATGCTAATAAATTACCTAAAAAACAGCATCAACAAAATTGTTTGATGCAGAGTTGTCACTAACCCTCAATTTATTAAAATTTTTTAGAAAAATGTAGGGCCAGGAGTGTAGCTCAGCAGCACAGTGCCTGCCTGGTAAGTGTGAGATCATTGGTTTGATTCTCGGTACAAAAAAAAGCACTACCTGTAAAGCACAATAGAAAGAGGTATGCTTATATGATTCACAGCTAGAAACCTGGAAGCACACCAGCCTGATGCTAAAATACATGGGTCTTCGTTTCATGCACATTGAAAAAACCTTTTTTGCTGCCTTAAAAGTCTTGTGAAAACAAAGGCTCTCAAACACAAAAATATTTTATAAGTTAAATGGTGACTTCTACTGAAAAGCCCTAGGAACAGTTCTACCACAAAACCAACATCCATCGGAGGTTACACTGACTTCTGTACAGTTTCTATCTTATCTCCTTTCAACTATCTGGAAAGTTCACAGCTCCCAGGAGCACTGATGAGTGAGCCCAGGATAAGTCAATATTCAGATTCTGCTGTACAGATCCAAAGTTGCACTTCAAAGAATCTAGCTGTTATGGCTTGTGTCTTTCTAAATGTCCCCTCAAGGTCTCATGTGATCATAGGTGGGGCAGGCTTTTCCGAGGTGGCTGGATCTACGGTGTGCAAAACCGGGATTAAGGATGTGTGATTACTAAACCAGTCCCCTGATTGGTTTGGCACAGATCTGGGTGTGGATGCCCATCCTAGGTATGGGTGGCACCACCCAAAAGGCGGTAGCCTGGGTGGATATAAAGAGACAGGAGGAAGGCAGGCCTGCTCCTCCTTCTGCACTACTTCACTGCTTCACTCCCTTCTGCCACTGTGAACTGTTTCTCTCCTCTCTGATGCCCCGCTGCCTTGGAGCCAGCCAACTAGGAGCTTAAACCTCTACCCACTGTGAGCTGCAATAAACCTTCCCCCATTAACCCTGGGTGTCAGGAATTTTGTCTCAGCAATGAGAAAAGTAAGACACTAGCCCTATTTGTGAACATAAAAGCAAAGCCTGGGAAAACTGGTTATGCTCGAAGCAGAAACCCAGACAAAATTAGGTAAGTGAAAGCTTTACTTGATCATGGAAAAACACGATAGCTTAAATACAGATTTACTGTTAAGGCAGTTTAAGAATGATTCATGAGATCATACTTACAAGTCTCTCTGAATCTGGTCAATCAGCAAACCATCAATCTTTTTCTTATTTACAAAATACCAAGCCATTCCACCGAAGTGTCTTGTTGAACGTAAAAGGTCATACTTCCCATGCTTATCAATGTCTTCATAGGTCTGGTGATGAACCTACCCGAATGCAGTACAACTCTTCAGAAACAGGAGAATACAAGTGAGCAGCATCACTCTACTTCACTGACTAGTGGGAGTGCTGGCCTAGGACAGTGTCAGTGAAACTGGCTTTACTTCCAGCTGCCTGCACGATCATTTGCCATTTGGTAAGCTGCAGACCACTCCTGGTACACCCACCTCAGGTAGAGGGGAGGGTTTATTAAGAAAGAATCTGTTGAGATGACAGCAAATCTATGCCTTCCCCACTGTGCAAGTGCGTGGCAGCCTGAAGCAAGTCACACCAAACCTTTATAACCTTATCAAGTACTTTTCAACAGCCAAGCATGGGCACTGATTTCATACATATAGAAAAATAAATAAATGTGGAAATAAATTATCACACCTCTTGGTCACTGGGGAAAAAAGAAACCAAGGGTATTCCCTTCTCCCATCAACCTCCCCGTCCCATCAGCTCACCCATGCCAGCTGACTGACATTTCTTCAGTTCTCCTCTCAGACTCCTCTTCCTACATGAGGACTCTGCTGAGAGCACTACTCTGCTCAAGAGGCTTCTAAAGACCCGCGACTGAGGTCCAGATTCCTCAGCCTAGCATCAAGGTCTCCTGTGATGCGGCCCCATCCACCTTCCTAGTGTAATCTGAAACCCTTCCTTACATACACATTGTACACTCAAGCAAACCAGATGACTAGCCATGTCTCAAGCATACTTGTTCATTTTCTGCCTGTTGCTCTTTACTGTTCTACCTGAAACACTTCTCTTCACACAACTCCCCCTGCCAGTGTTCCCTGCCCTTCCACAGTATTTTTTAAGACTTCTACAAAGCCTTTCCAGCCTTTTAGCACCTACCATTGTAGCCATAACATGATAATTATCTGCCTACTTATCTAGCACCCTTCCACACAATCATTCCTGGACTGTAACTGTCGACATAACACACCCTGTCCTAGTTCATGGCATTACCTTACTACCCATGATAATACCGCACACATAAAAGGTACTAGTGAATCTGTACGCACACCAAGGTATTTAAGACACACACATTGCATTCTGGCAAACTATAGTAAGTAGCTTTGTTCTTGTGTGGTAAATTAGGACAATAGGCTTTGCCATTGTTTGTTACAAAGCCTACCACTTACTAGCAATGCAACTGTCAGCAAGCTACTAAATTCCCTCATCCTTAAGGATTACTGTGAGAATAAAATATGTACCTAGGACACAACTATATTCAACAAATTTTCAGGTATCTTCCTTCCCTTTCCCCTACATCAGACGTGGCAAACCTGTGGCACACATACCACAGCAGACTATTATCATCGAAAGCTTTAAAAGGTTCGCCCTCACTGTCCTGTATCAAACCTTATGACTACACTCAGTATGCTACATTCAAAATCTTGCTCATAACTGTACTTTAACGTGTACTTTAGAAACTGTAAAACATACTTACCTTGATGTACTCAGCAGAATCTGGCTCAAACTGGGCAATGCAAAGATTAAGGACATCAGCATGCCGGTCCTGGCTGTACATGTTCTAAAACCACACAGCAGAGATGGAATTAGATGAGAACCCTGTCCTGGCACTGTGACAGGGCAGCCTATCCACACACAGGGGGCATATATGCCCATCAAAAGGCATATGGAACAACATGGGCTTTGCAATAGTTACCCCCGAATCCAAATCCCACCTAAGACAATTGTAAGAAGAGAATTCTTGTTATGTAACCATTTGAACCATCTATCTGTATTTGCCAAGCAGCACCAAGAGCTACATAGTTCAACAAATAAATCATCATCGAGTCTGGAATATAAAACATAATTCATCTTACCTTAAGGTTTTCTTCCTTGAAAATTATTGGAGGCAGAGTTCTACGACCTTCTTTGGGGAAATAAATTTGTATCATCCGGTCCCGTTCTTCCCAAGAAGCTTTGCGCAGTGTGCCACTTGGTTCTCTTACAACAATAAAACGTTCCTAAAATAGAAAACACAACCAAGGATGAGTTGTACAGACTTATGTTTGATTTCTACATCTCACTAAGTCCATTAGAGCAGTCCCCAAACTTGATAGCCGAACATTTTGGGACCAGTGACCAGTTTTGTGGATGACAGTATTTCCATGCACTGAAGAGGTGGAGATAGTTTTGTGATGAGTCAAATGCACAACACTTATTGTGCACTTTATTTCTATTATTATGAGATTCTCATACGCAATGGCAACCGAAAGACTTCTCCACATGTACAGTTCACAGTAGGGTTCAGGCTCCTGTGAGAATCTGATGCTGCCACTGATCTGACTGGAAGCAAGCCCGGATAGTCACACAAGTGATGGGGAACGGCTGTAAACACAGATGAAGTTTCTCCACTTGTCCACCACTCACCTCCGGCTGTGCAGCCTGATTCCTAAGAGGCCACCAATCTGTACCAGTTGGTGGCTGGGGTTTGGGGATCCTGCTTATAACAACAACTTGCAATCTGTAAGTTGCTGGAAATACAATGAAACTGGGAAACAAAATACAATCATGCATAAAGGAGTTCAATGATAATTTAAACTTTAAAACACTTGGCAAGGTTTAATACTTCCTTCACTACCATGTATTTGATCATCCAAAACCTAAAATTTAGTGAGCACCAACTGTGGTATTAATGTAGGTTTGGTACATAAAACGGTTCAACTAAAACTGATCTGAGATTCATCTGAATCCATTTCAGAAGATGGCCGTTTCAAGTTATTTCATTTCCCCATCCCACAGTCTCACCTAAACAGATCTTACCAATTCATGTCCTACATTTAACAGAATAGGAACACACTCAAAAATGTGCAGTCTTAATTCTGCACCTCTGTGATTTCTCATACTGACATCAGACCTAAGTCTGTCAGCCTGGCTGGTCACCTCCTCCGGTCTCTTCACTCTTCCAACTGCCAGGTCCCAGGCCATGGGAATGCTTCTTCCTCTGAATCTAACCCACTATGTGCACTATTCATACAGCAATTTATTAAATGCAAGATTTTTAACACTTCTCAGATATTGTTATACAACTAAAAAAGGACAGGAAATGTGCATAATAATCCTTTGTACCACCTAGAGTTGGAAAGAAATACACAGAGCTTTGCACACTGCTGGTAACTGATACATACCTGATTAATTTATAAATTAAACAAATAGTAGGCTATACTTCAGAGCTGTAAGAGTTCTAAGGAGAAAATAACACTTTCATCAAACACTATAAATAAAAAAATGTAAAAATAAAAATTCTCCCACAAAAAAACTGGTAATATGAGAAACCAGAATTCTAAGTTTCTTTCTCCTTCAAGCTACTAAAATGCTCCTATAACCAGCCTTCACAGCACTGCAAATACAAATGAAAGCACAAAAATTAACTAAAATTCAGCTTAAAGAAAAATTTCTAATTAAAATGAAAACTCTGTGATCCTTGCTCACTATGTCAGGTATGCAGAAGGCTGGTACAGGGATGGACACAGCTGAATTCATGTTTTTTTTTTTACCATAATCACATATGATTAGAGTGATTAATATGGGGGGTCACCTTTCTCCCACTCAGCATTCTACAGTATTCTAATGCACTGTTGGCTGAACTGTAAATTACTCTTTTTATTCTTTATTTGCAAGGCTCATATATGAAACTGAAACATTTTTTAAATGCCAAAGTGTGTTTTAAAATTGGCAATCAATGGAAGATAAGCAAGAGAATAAAAACACAACAGAAAAAGCCGTAATATTTGAAACTGGTCTGAGAAACACCTGTCACTCTTACTGAAAAATCTGTAAAGTTAAAATCTATTGGGATGTCTGAGTTTCTTGGTATCATCGAGGAATACACAGGATTAAACATCATCTTCTCAAAAAGCTTCTGCAAAGTGAAGAGTACAACTTAGGTAACAATAATTTCCTTCTCCTGCTACCTTGTATGTAGATTTTTGTCCATTGGTGGTTTGGGAGGTGGATTTCTGTCTGTCTGAATATGTTCTCTCTAAGCCCATCTGTCTCTCTGCAGTCGCTCTAAATACACTGAGTCCACAATCTATAGGGAAACAGTAACATAAAGATGTGAGCCTGGTCTGCATCTCTCATCCTCCTTATACTGTATCTTCCAGAAGGATCTCATGCCATCACAGGAATTCTAGTTTGGCAGCATCACACACAGCCAGGTCATATCATCCCTCAGACCCTTCTCCACATGAACTTCAAACACACATTATTTTGCATTTAGACATATACTTACCCGGTGTGGTATGCTGTATGATATATCAGTAAACACATATTTGGCTGTTTCTGTCCCTTCCAAAATCTTATCCTCTGCTAACACATCGTTTATTGGTGCTCGTTCTTCCAGAACTGGTGGCATTTTTAATCGTACTTTAGCTGCCTCAACTGCTTCTCTGGTAGCCTAATAAAATAAAATACTTCTTAAGGAAAGTCACAAGGTTACAGGCCAAAAGGATAATTTGATTAAAAACAGACATTCATCAAAAACTCTTTACTGCAAGGAAAGTAAGTTATAGTCAACAATCGTGAGTGAGAAGCCACATTTGGACTGATGAGCCCCAGTCTTTGCCTGTGCTGTGGCGGAGCTTAAGCTACAGGTTTAATCATCAAAACAACAACAGAATGCTGAGAACATGCTAGACTACAAAGTTTGCTTGAAATAAAGGACTGTACTTATTGGGTACTGACTATGTGCCAGATATTATGCAAATACTCTGAACAAATATATTTACTTACTTAATGCCCATACCAACCTTATGAGCTAGGTGCTACTATAATCTCCATTCCAAGAAAGAGAAAACAGAAGCACAAAGGTGTAAGAAAACTGCTATGAAGTTGCAGCACTAAGATCTGACTGTAGGCAACTTCTGAATTAGAAAAGAGTATTAACGTTTCATACAGTCATACATCAAAGAGTATCCCACAAAGGACTCAATACCCACAGCTCCAGGAAGATACTGCTGCCCAGAATAGGAAGCTGTTCAACATGATCTTCTAATTTTAGGCAGCTCATAGTGGTGTTTCTCTAGGAAGGAAGCTGAACAGGCAGGAAAAGGGAGGATGCTCAGGCAGTATGAGAGCAGAGAAGACCCTCTACTTGGACATCCAGACCGTGCCCACATACTTGTTGGCTCGGTTCTGGTCGTGCTCCCGGTCCCTCTCTGCCTGCCCACTCATATTTCATTTCTCAGCTCTGTGTCGTTAGTCCACCTCACGGGTGCCTGTACAAGAGCACTAAAAGCATCAGCAGCAGCTTCTGGAAATCTTGTTTAAGCCCTTACAGAAATGTATACTATCAATATTCCTGTGTTTATATACCTTTTCCAACTGTGCTTGGGTCATGAGCTTATAGGTTGGTGGCTTCAGCTCTTGTATAGCTGGTTTAAAAACCTTCTTCAAGTTTAAGCCTGTCATCTTGATAAGGATGTTTTGGACTTCTTCATCCGTAAATGTAGGTTTCTTGACATCTGAGGTATCAGATTCTGCTAAAACAGATTTTAGTAAATAAGACGCTAGCAAAAATGACAAGCTGACAAGACCTCCAAAAAGGAAAGTAAGGGGCCAGGGATTTAGCTCAGCAGTATAGCACCTGTCTGGCAAGTGCAAGGTCTTCAGTTTGATTCCCAGTACCAAAGAAAATAAAAAGGAAAAGTAAATTATCAGTTAAAACCATAAGTACAGCTGAGCATGGTAGCACATGTCTATAATCCCAGCACTTGGAGGCTGAGGTAGCAGGATTGTTGCAAGTTTGAGACCAGCCTGGGCAACAAAGTGAGCTTAAGGCCAGTCTGAACTTCACAGCAAGACCCTGTCTCAAAACAAAAACAAAACAAAGCAAAAAAAGACAAAAAAAAAAAAAAATCCCACCATAAGTACAGTGTCCACTTCAAACTGCATAATGCTAATACCTGTGAGATGCATTCATTGTACTTCAATTGTAAATTTTAAAAGTTACTGAACAAGCCAAGCATGGTGGTACATGTCTGTAACCCAGCACTCCGGATGGAGGCTCAGGCAGGAAGGACTGCCATGAGTTCAAAGCCAGACTGAACTACATAGCAAGGCCCTGTCTCAAAATAAATAAATAAATAAAAATAAATAAACAAATAATTTTGAACATTCACTATGATGATGATACAATCTCTGCCAAAAAGACAGTGCATTGTTAGAAGCAACAGAAAAACTAATGTAATAATAATAATGATAATTGCTATTTACAGACTCGTCTCCTATTGCTCAGAGTTTGTTTTCTTTTTTTGTTTGTTTTGGGGGGATTGGTTGGTTGGTTTTGCAGTGTGGGGTATGGAACCCGAGGCCTATGCACTCAGGCAAGTGCTCTACTACTGAGCTACATCCTAAGCCCTCAAATTCATCTAAGTCAAGATAACACACATTTTCAGTCAAGATAGCACACATACAATAACCTACAGAAAAGGTATCAATACCCCAATTTTATAAATGAGGACGCTAACGCTGACCCAAAGACAAAACTGGCTATTAAAGGCCAGAGCTAGGTTTATTAAGGTTTGTCCAGTTCCAAAGCCTCCAATCTTATTTCAACTCTGCCTCATGCACTCTGTCTATTCCTTAACTCATTTCTCTCTCCATTTCCACTATGAAAAAATACTAAAAAAAAAACCACACACACATTTGTTTCCAGTCATCTCTTTCTTTGCTTGTCCTGTAAATTCTAAACTACTTGCTGTTCTCTCTTCTCATACTGTCACTGGATGATCTCTTTGCCTCCTATGATATTAACTGTCTGATATGCTGGAGACCGGAACCTAAATCTCCAGCTCAGATTATCTTCACCCAACTAATGGACATTTCACTGTAATTCATTCAGTATGGCCAAATCAGAACCCATCAACTTTCTCTTGTTTCAAATACGCTTTTCCTGTTATTCCCTGTCTCAGTACCACCAGGTCTTGCAGACCAGAACCTTACTGTCATTCCTGACTTCACCTCACCCACCATGTCCAGCCAACAGCAGTACAGAGACAACTCCTAACATTAATGAGATATTTTCTACATGCCAGGACTTACTGAGCAAAGTATATATTCAGCACATTTCATGCTCACAACAACCCTATTAAGCAAATACTATGATTAGCCCCATTTTATAAAAAAAAGACAGTAATGGGGCTGGGGATTTAGTTCAGCGGCACAGCACCTGCCTGGCAAGCGCAAGGTCGTGAGTTTGATTCCCGGTACCGGAAAAAAACAAAAAAAAAAAAAAAAAAAAAAAAAAAAAGACAGTAACACAAAACACACAACCTGCTATATCTCTTAAATCTCTTTTTAATCCTAGATGTCCCACTGCTACTACTCTCATCAAGACCACTCTCATCGCTTACCTGGCATCACTGCATCCTTTTTGACCCCACTACAATACATTCTCCACATAGACTACTTAAACAGTAATCTCTTTAAAAAGGTAAACAAGATGATGCCATGTTTGGAACTCACCAATGACTTCCAACATCATTCAGAAAAACACTAAGGTGGTCTGCTTGCTTTACTGTATTCCCGCACTAAACGATGTGCTCTCTACCAGAACCCTGTCTTGTCTCTGGCAGCCAGGATCCTTTAGAGTACCGAGAACACTGTAGGTGCTCAGGAGTATGCTCTCCCCAGATAATCTCATCCATTCACCCAACTTAAATCACTACTTTCACTGATCTCCTCAAGCTATATTTATCTGTATTGGAACACTAGACTCTCAAAGGTACCTAAATGTGAATATGTTAAAATTCTTTCCCATCTCCACACGCCATCTACTCTGGCACCGACCACGCCCCCCCCCAATATTGTCGGTACAATTTTCTCCAGTTTGGTACAAATGCGACTACTGTACTCTCCAACTGCTCAAGCCAGAAATTTGGAAACAAGATTTTTGTTTCGAAACCTAAATTCTGAAGCCATAATCCTGCCTTATCAATCCGACTCCCCCAGATACCTGTGTTCAGTCTCTGGATTTTGGCTTATGCTGTCTCCCCTACTCCGAATGACTCTTGTGTCCTCCTTTAGCCTAGTTAGCCTAGCCTAGGCGTCAGCTTTGGTCGCGTCTCCCAGTAACCCCTCCCCGCCCTTCCACCCCAGCTGGAGGGCCTCGCCTCTGTGCGTCCCCCAGCACAGCCCGAGCAGCAGGGAACTGCCAGCTCCCCCTGGGCTCCGCACTCCCTCCGGGCCGGTTCAGCCTCAGCTCACTGCACCCGCTAAGCTTAGCCCAGCACTTTCCAAGCGACAGAGCTCAGGCACTGGGCGAGGACAGACCCTGCAGGCACAGACCGAAGCTGACTGGGTTGAGCCTGCACAGCGGGGAGAGACAGAGGGGCCGCCGCGTGGTTTTCGCCAGCTAACAAGTGCTTCCAGGCTTCCAAGCAGAACGACACACCGGACGCCGGGCAAGTCACTTACCGACGCCGGAGCCGAGCCCACGGCGTGGCAGCCCCACCGCAAAGGACAGCGGCAGCGGCTGGAACAGAGCATCCCGCCTAAGCTGGGTTTGGGCCCTGACACAGACCGGCTCCAGGCCCCGAGAGCTTATCAGGAACTTCCATAGCGACACTGGAGTTCTGAGGGAAGCCATGACCATCCGAGCCCTCTTGCGCCGGAAATTGTGGTGATCAACTTCCGGTTCACGCTCAGTTTGTATGGCATGCTGGGAAATGTAGTCTAGTGACGCAGAGCGCGGCGGAAGCCTTCTAAACTCTGTTCTCCTCGTCTTTTTGAGGTTTTTATAATTTTTTTTTTTTTTTAATTTTTGAGACAGAGTCTCGAGAAGTCGCTAAATTGCCCAGGCTGTGCTTAAACTTGTGATCCTCCTGCCTCGGCCTCCCAGAGTCCTGGGACTACAGGGTGTACCACCATGCACAGCCCTTTTGATCCTTTATAGATTGGTTTTCTTTTTCTAAACTGCTTATTCACATGTAGCAGGTGTTCGTGTCTTTCCATGTGCACAGATTAAAAGTTTAGACCATTTCTCCCATCCCCAGGTTTAAATCCAGCTGCGTGTTGGACTTCTCCATTCAAACTTTTACATCCTCATCCCAAATCCTGATTCTGAGTTTACCACCAGCACTAACAATTCATATCCCATATTCCTGACTCATAACTTACTCCTTTCCTTTAGAGCCCTTTTCAAGATTTGTGGGGGTTTTTTCTGCTCAATTATCACTTATTTTTCTTATCCAAGAATATAATGACTACATATTTTATTGTAATATCACCTAGCCTAGTGCATCTGTGTGCACAGCAAACATATGTTGAACAAATGAGTGAGTGACTGATTTTATGTTCTTTCCCAGTTGTCCAGGATATGCAGTTCTCGTCCTTCCCTGGACTATAGGTTGGTGTCTGTGTTGACTGTTTATTGTATGGCCTGGCAAATGAAGGTTGTTAAGAAAACACTTGTTTGGATTAGCTGGCTGGAGGGATTTAACTCTTAACCTCACCTCTTTTTTCCCGACTCCCCTTTGTGAAAATTCATTATACAAAATGGAGTAATTTGTCACACCCCACTACAATGGAATCAAGAGCCATAGGAAAAACACTCAGGTCATGGATATGTAAACAATGGACACACACACACAATCTCCCTTGTCTTTAAGATTATTTTTAGTTAACAACTAACAGTGAAAGTACCAACTATGACTTACAAATAGTTCGGTGATGGGAACCTTTCGAAGTTGAGTGCCCAAACTACAACCCAAAACCCATTTATTTATCGCAAAGTGCCAACACTGCCCCTGTGTGCGCTGTTATCTGATGCTCAGCTGCTGGGCTGGTGGATGCTGGGCTGACTTGGCTTGTATGTCTGCACAAGTACTGCAGCAGATGTGCCATAGGTTTGCCACCACTGGACTAGTTAGTAACTTTTGCTGCCTGCCGATAAGAACTTGCTAGCTCTCACAAGTACCAAAAGTGGAGGAAAAAATGCCTTTCAAAGTACTGTGGTGGATTAACTAATGGTCAATAAGTAACACCCAGCTGAACTGAATCAGCATGGTGCTGGGTGTAGAAGGCCCACCTGAGGATTGTTGCCAACAGCATGAAAAGAGAACTGGAGGGGAAGATGGTGTGCTGTTGATTCTCCTGGAGAAGCTTGTCAAGCTGGTTTTCCTGACATGTTCTCACCATTTGAAGAGCTAGGGTCCTCGCTGTCACTGAGGATGGCTGCAGGTCTCTATCGGGTTAATAATATCCCTCAGTTATTGTGGGCTGATCAGGTCCACAATCTCCTGAATGAGTGCATGGCGATGGCTAAATAAAAGAGGCAAATGGAATGATTTCAGAGCTCTAGGAAGATCAAAACCTTCTCACAGAATTCGAGATTCTCTCAGGGCTAAGACCAAGACCTTCTCTGGGTGGCCCATATTATTTGGTTATCAGAGGAAAGGAGGGGAGTACTCAAGAAGGGTGGAATTACTCAAGGACTTCTCCAAGTAAGGTATTAAATTAATCTTTAATAAGGATTAAATTAATCCACCTAGAATGAGATTCCTGAGGCTATAGTCTTTCTCTAGTTGAGATCAGATCCAGGAACCCTTGGCTGTGATCTTGTCTTATCCTTTGAGGCTTTCTGGCTTCATCTGCCATTACAGGTTTTAGTAGGGATTAGTGACTCACAGAAGTTCACTTACTATGAGTCCATCACCTACTTCAAGACAAGTGGCCTAGGCTTTGGACAGACTCACAAATAAACATAAAAAGCTAATTGGTTAATTTAAGTCCTGCTCGGGGCTGCTTCATAGTGGTCTCCGTCATTTCTCTTTGGGAGAACTCTGGTTTTTGCCTTGAGTTTCACTTCATAGTCCCAGTGTAAATCCCTCAGCCTGCTGGCACAGATCCTTCATCCTACTTGTGCAGACTTTTAGCTTCTGCTACCGACCTTTGGCTCTTCACAGTGCAGATCCTTGATACACACTTGCATGGAACATTGTTGTGGGCTCTAGGTCTCTAGCTGGACTTGTGGAGGACATTGCCATGTACTCTAGGTCTTCAGCTGGACTCCTGCAGGACACTGCCATGGGATCCAAGCCCTCAGTTGGAGTCTTTGGGTCTCTAGTGTGTGGACAGATCTCCTGCACTCTTTTGCACTTGACACCTGGGGAGAATATTATAAAATAATCCTATAAATTATGTGTCCTATATTAAATCCTTTCCCTTGTACACTCTGACTACAACAAAAACATTATGTAAATTTCTCTGTCCTAAAATGTCCTAAACATTGTCTTTGTTCTCTAGACACACCAGAAGTCACCCAAGCATATGCATGTATGTCTCAGACAGTAATCCTCTTTGTTTATTCCTCCCAAGATGTTCCTGTATTAGAGATTGATCTCTGTGTTTTTATTTTGACACCAGCAAGAGCTCTGTTCATGGACTCATTTGCTAATTGAGTAGGGGAAGAAGACGGCCCTAGACAGGGCACTGACTCAGGCAGGACTACTGCCCAGCACTTCCCAGCACTCCTTTCACAGGTATGTAATAGCAGCCTTCAGGGAGTAGTGATGGAATACATGCAGGTGCCTCTCGTCCCTTTTCTCTAAGAATTGATCATCTATTTCCCATACCTCCTTCTAAAAGAGCAGGCTTCAGTGGTTGTTTTTCCTGTAAACATACCCTTGGGCACATCTGATTGGACCATGGGTGGACACTTGCAGGAGAAGTGAACCCATTGGCTATAGTACAGTTTCCAGTGACTATTGTAACATTAGTACACATTTGGTGAATTAAAGTAATAGAAATGTATTCTCTCAAGTTTCTGCATGCCAGAAATCCAAAATGAGTATCAATAGGTAGAATAAAAGGATTGGCAGGATCCCTGCTCCCTTGAGAGGCTATAGAATAGAATCTGCCCCTTGCATCTTCCAGCTTCTGGTGACCTTGAGCATGCCTTGACCTGTGGCTGAATCACTCCAACCTCTGCCTCCGTCTCCAAAACGGCTCTCCTGTTTTCTGGGTGCCAAATCTTCCTTTGCCCCTTTCTTACACTGCCTTTAGGGCCAACGCTGATAATCCAACCCAAATAATCTCCCCATTTTAAAATCCTTTATCACATCTGCAAAGATTGTTTGTATATAAGGTAACATTCACAAATTCCAAGGATAAGGAAGTAATTCTGGGGGTGAAAGGGAGAAAAGGATACATTTTTCAGCCTACCCCAGCTGACCATGCATCAAGCAAATTTTCTCCCAATAGTTTACACTAAAAAACACAGAAATTATAGGTGAATTTTGAGAGGTGAAGTAATGACTGTTTAGAGTTGGGTTGAAGCAGCGTTTATCAGTACTGCGCTTACATTGCCAAATGAGGAAAGAAAGGCAGGAAAATGGATCTCAGAAGCAGAGACAGGAGACTGTGTGGGCAGAGAGGAAGAAAGGTTCTGTCTTGACCAGAGAGCCTCACTGTCTTCTGAGTCTTCTTTACTTGGGCCACAGTTTGTGTCACTGTTGTGGTGCAGTGAAGATTACTGGGTGCAGCTGTACCCTTGAGCAGATGCCCGTATCTTTTAGAGTCTCTCTACCTCATCTGCAGGATGAATACGTGTTTGCCTTGCTGACTGTGAGAGTTAAGTGCTTTTAGGATCTGACGACCGGTGTTTCATGAAAGGGGTGTAAGAAGTTCATGTGGTGGTCAATCAGTTATTTTCTGAGGAAGGTCTTCGAGGTTCTCTGGGTGCAAGCAACATAAATCTTTCCTGAGTAAAACAGAGATGGCAGTGATTGGAATGATGCTTGCGTCTCAGAGAGTTAAAGAAAAATCTGAACATACCAGGCTCAAGAAAGACTAGAAAGGCAATAGCTGCAGGATTACCGGATGAAAGGACTTGAGAAATCTGCCCAGGAGGCTGCTGCCAGAATGATTCCATCCCAACTGCATAGTTTCCATAAAATCCAAGTTCCTAATGAGCTGATTGACCTTGATAATGAGGTTATATTCAGTGCTGGAAGATGAGGAGAGCTGGTTCCCTGACTGAAAATCCCAGTGTTAGCGGATGTGAAGTCCCACAGGAAGTCTTTCCAGGTTCTTGCAAAGAAGTGGTCAAGACACACCAAGAAAGGTAGCAGGGATGTACACTTATTGAAGGTGGAAAAGAAGTGTGCTCTGCAGAGTGAGAGTGGGCGGGTGAACAGACTTAATGCCAGGTGGTGAGGATAACGGCAAAGGGTCTTTTATGTCTGGGATTCTTGGGTTGGTTTCTCCCTCTTGCAAATAAGGCACTGGGACAGCTGTCCTATAAGAAACACACTTGGCCTGCCACCAGATTTAAACTGTCCAGTCAAGGACTCACTTGGCTTCACACCAGGTGTAAATGAAAAACTGAAAAACAGCAGAACTGCAGAGTCTTCCTGGAGCCTCTGTTCTGCGCATGTGTCCTGGTCTGCATGACTTTGACAGATTCCACCCGGTTGTTTGACCAGTTTTGTCTCAGGCCTAATCTCCTTCACCAGGAATATCTAGTTGCACTACTGGTAACATTCATCAAATCATATCTGCAAAGAGATCACCAGCTCTGTGGAACAAGAACAGTTTCCAGTTGTTTGTAATTCAAACAGTTATTCCACTATCTGACTTAACAGTAAATTTTGCCTTCCTAAAGAGACTAGG